TACAGAAAGGTGGCAATAATACAGGTTACAATCAGTTCTGAAAGTAGCAAAGTAGGGTTTGAAATAGAAAATAAATCAAAATCCATATATATAACAACTGTAATATCCAAATTGCAATCGCGTTTGCAGGGAACAAGGAAGGTATTCTAGGTCTCCTCTCACTCCTCTTGTGTAATGAAAAATAAACGCTCTAGTTTTATTTTCTACATGTACTGCCATTTATATAATTGCAGTATTTTTATTAATAACTCTGAAACCACAAAGGACTGGCGCTTCCTTGGATGAAAATAGCTCCCCACATCCCTGACCACGAAAGGTTAAGAGCCAGACACGAGCCAGCTGCCCACTCCACTGTTACCGCAGACAAACATTCAGACTTCACCTTCCTCAGCACAACTATCTCTCTATTTCTGCTGAGTGTCTCTGGACTCTGTCTGATCTACATTTGGGAGGGAAACTCCTTGTCAGGGCCAATGTCAACAGCTCTTGGTAGGGACTGCGCGTCTCCCCGGGCCCAGACTTGCCTGTGCACGCCCCAAAAGTCACCGCCTGTAGGAGCGCTTCCATGGAAAATGTGGTGAGCAAGGTCTAGTGTTATTGAACACTTAGAGCACGACAGCAATGTGCTTGAAAAAGAGGATCAATCTTAGATTGTTGCAAGGATGAAACTTTGTGATGCACTCCTTTGTTAGATAAACCCCTCTCAAAGCAGCAATTTCACACAAATGCCTCGTCAAATTATTAGCCTCAACGGCCTCAATCTTTTGATGTAGCCATCAAGCGCGTTTTTAAGATCCCTTTCACAAGATTCTCATTTGAAAATGAGTCAACTGGAAACATTAGAAAGTCAGCAGGAGATGACGTCTTCATCACTCATGCAGCTAATGTTAGCTTAATTAGCTAGGTAGCTGTAGCTGATGAAATCTGCTACAGTTGTCATTTGTTGGCTGAGAAGCCTGCACTTACCTCGAGGACCAATTGTTTAAAAAATTGCACAATAATCATTGCAGAGTAATAATAATAAATAAATCTGCCTTAATTATCATTGTAACAGTAACCAAGGGGGTGAAAACGTCAATTAGCACTGCAAAAATCTGCTCATGGCTGTGAGAACTGCATTTAAAATCTGGCACATATGAAAAGTTGGAGGGGGACTTACAAAGCTTTTAAAGTGTTTGTGGTTTTATTGGCGGGTGCACGGTGACCTGCACGGTGCGTTTGCTGCCGGGCTGGGACTTGCTGCTGGTGTTTCTCTCCGCGGGCTTTCGCTGTTTTGTTCTGCCGCTCACTTTCTCTTGTCTCGCACGCGGGACTCGCAGGGGGCTGCCGGGCACTGAGTGTCGCCGTGCTCGCACAGTGCGAGCGTTGGGCTCGTCACTTGTGCATTGATGTTGATGACTATGTGGCATTTGGGCATTTTGTTTGACCGCTGTGCGGCGCTGGGGTGCTGGAGCACTGGGCTATGTTGTGTGCGCGCCGCGGTCGGTCCGGGCGCTGCTCTTCCGCGGGCTACGCCTCTTGCGTTCTGTCGGCATTGCGTTGTCAACTGGCATTTGGATGGTCATTTTTATATATATATATTTTTTTTTTGGGCGTCTGTTGGTTGGGTCAAGGTCTTCCACGTTTGCATCGCGGTGCATCTGGGAGTCTTTTTTTGATTGATTTTTTTTCTCCCACCCCTATTGGCTATTGGCTACTGGGGTTCTTGCCTGCCTGTTGCTGGGGTAGGTGTGGCACAGTCGTGGCGTCCCACTCTCACTAACAACTACATTCTTTAACAGGCTTATGCGCACACACATGTACACACATACAGACACTTTCACCCACACGCACACAGACACACACAGTCTCACACATAGACACAAACAAATTTAGGTTGTCCCTGGTAGAATTATTCCTGATGCTTTTCTTTCAGTTACTTCTTTAAATTAATTGTTATTATTCCAGCTCTCGTGGCTGTGTTGTGTTGCTTATTTAGTGTGCGGACTGTTTCTTGTTTTCATTTTTCTCTTAGTTGTCTTACTATGTCAGCTGCTTATTGCTGCTGTTTGGCTGGTTGTCTTTTACTATATATTATATTTATTGTTTGTTTGTTTGTTGTTGTTGTTTTTCTCCTCCCCAAGCCCCCCTCTCTGTTCTATTGCAGGTTTTGTTGCTTTCTGCAATTGGTGTTTCCCTCTCCTATTCCCTGTTGTCCCCACCTTCCATCCCACTCCTCTTGCAGGTATTGTCCTTTCTCTGTGCTCTCTGTTTGTACCCCCCCATCCCCATGTCTGCCCCCTGTCCGGCCCGGTGATAAATCAATACATAATTAAATAAATAATAAAACAGACAAAGGAGTATATTAATACTCTCTTGTTAAAGTAAAATATGTCTGGCACAACATGGTATCCAGCTCATCATACTCTATACCAGGCTGCTGGGCAGCACAGGTTTAAAAGAAAATAAAAAATAAAATAAATAAAGTGTGTTTGTGGTTTTATGAAAGTGAAGGGATTTCTGGGCAGTATCTGGTACCAGTGGGTTTGTCATCCGTTCCGTTGTGTGATATGTCTGATGTGCCAGCGGTGGCACTGAAACCTCGCACTCTGTCTGCTCTTTCTCCAAGATCATCTACTCAGTCAACGCCACAACTTATTGCAACGGGAGATCCTTTTATCTACAGACTTGCGCCTAACCAATAACATTTCCTCTCCCCCAAATCAAAAACAGGTCAGTGCTTTTGCTCAGTAAACCCACTTCACTGCCTCTTCAGCCAGATGAATGACATCATCCAGTTGTGGTCAGAGAAAATGCTGCTACTGGAGACACAAGACTTCTCCATTAAGATAAATAGTATCTTCAGTGTACTGTTATTACAATTTAAATTTACTTGGGGCTCCTCTTTAGGTCTTTAAGCCTATGAACAATGAATATCACCCCATTTGCAGGCATTTGACAGAATTACTAACAAAAATGTAGTGGCACAAAGAGGTGTTATGTCCATTCCATCTCCTTTAGAGCCAGTCATGTTTTTTGAGGCCTAAATTGAGATAGAGTGAGTTAAGAAGGTATCCATGCTCTTTTTCAGAAATGTCCAGCTATAGCCTCAAACAGCTTCATGTTTTTACAGCTGGGAGCTGCTCAGTAGCTGGGACACCTCTCTGCTGCTAGCCACGAGAGATCTCTGCAGACAAACCTGGCATTTGTGTCAAACGTTTTGTGGCCTTACTATTATCAAAACAGCATTTGTCATTGCTTCTGTTGTGGTTGCAGAAAATAGCTGTTAAGTCTCCGCCCTGCACCATCAAAAGCAGCAACGTCATCCTGTGAGAAACTGGGCTACCGGGTTCTCCTACCAAGAATGAATTGGAGAAGCCTAATGCAGAGCTTCCCCACCTTTTTGGCCCAAGACCCAAACTTTAGTTCTGACACCGATTTCTCTAAGTTATTTAAAACAATTGGATACTTCTCAAATGGCAGATGGGATTGTGCAGCGTAATGAAAGAACATATATAATATATTTTATTGCTTGAATTTAACTGAATGAATGAACTTAATTTCCTCTGTAAAAACATATATTTTCATGTTCCATTCTGACTCCAAGGTTGGGAAGTGATGTCAAAGAAGCTATTTAATAATACATATAAAAAGGAAAGTTATGTTAATGAACAAGTATCTACTGATTAGTTTAGAGATATCTGTGAATCTGACTAATTTTCTAAAGAACCATTCCTGATTATCTCTGATGAATATTATATTTATTAATAACTATTTTTGTGTTTCCTCAAGTAAAGTGGTACATCATTACCAAGTTGTTAATTGCCATTTTTTTTGGTTAGTATTTAGGTTAGTATTGCATTATATTTTTGCCTAAATTTGTCTAGATCGGCAAATAAGTCTGTCATCGGCCCACATTTTTTTCAAGTCATTACATGGCGGGCCGGAACATAGTCAATTGATATGATATATTCTCACATTTACTGTGTGTGATTAGCTCAGTAGGTAATGCACAGCACTCCTGTTTGGAGAGTTGTGTGTTCAATCCTAATGTTCTTAACTCGTATTTTTTTTCTTCCTTTTTCAAAAAATTTATTGTAGAGATCGTATTAGATATTACAATTAAGCGTGAGCAGGGGTGTGTACATCACAGCGATTGGTCCACATCAACTGGCTTTTTCAGTGGTGTGTCAAGTAAGCCAGAGACTCTTTAATTTTCTTCGGAACTTTTCAAAGTAAAAGCTCTCACTTAAACATGACATGAAGTACTGCTGCAAAAATGTTCTTGCGCTTTTATTTTGTAGGCACAATCACTTAAAGTGATTATGTGAGTAACTTTTGCTGTCATGACTGAGATCTGTTTAAGCACCAGTTGCTATATTTATATTTTTATATTTTTATCAAATTAATCTGGCCACGGGCCAGACATTATTGCTGGCGGCCCCACTTTGGCCCGCGAGCCGCCTATTGCCGACCACTGGTCTAGATGTTCAAACTGGTGAGAAGCCGTGGTTTGTTTGTTCACATTAGAGCACCCATGTCCTGTTCTTTCATTGGTTTGAACCACTATCCTGGCTTAGTCATTTGGCAAAATGCTGTGTGAGTGTTTGGAAAACACTGAGCATATTAGTGAACAGTGGAAAACTGGGTTTCTTTAAAAGATTTGATATTTCTGTCTCACATAAAAACATGTCGCTGATGGAAGCCATTATAACTTTACATAAATCCAAGCCGGCCATGTCCTCTGCTCTCTGTGAAGGAGCAAACTACCAACTGTTTAAAGCCCCCTTTCATGCCTAATTGTTTCACTGAAAAGATGGAGCATCCCTTTAAGAAACTCCATAAGCAATATTTTTACATTTACAGAGGTGTGTCAGCTGTTCCCTCCCTGGCTTTAGGGAGGACTCTACTAGTTCTGGCCTAAATGACTTATCTGCAGTTGAAGCTGGGTGATGTTCACGGAGAGCTTAGCTGGCAAATCTGCCAGTGATAAGAAAAGGACAGGATAAAAAAGCCCTCACCTCTGAGCTCAGTAGCAGCAGTGGAGTTTGTTGAGGCCTTCCAGCGGTTCTGGTGCTTTTTAAACTCCTGCACCCGGCACATGTAGAGCCCCCGGTCCCCCTCGGACACATTCAAGATTAACAGGTCAAAGACCTTCCCCTGTTTTACCACCGTCAGCTTCAGTTTGGGCCATGAGAAACTCTTTGTGTAGTTGCCATAGAAACGTTCCTTCCTCATGTTGATGCGAGCGATGAGGAGTTCGTCCTCTGACCGGTCTGTGCCCGCTGGCAGGAAGGTCCATTTCACCACTGGTAGAGCAGCGTTACGCCGCCTCTGAGACACAACACAGGAGAGTGTGATATTTTGACCCTCCTGGGCCACCGTGAAGGGGAAGGGGTGATAGTGACGTTGATGGCCGAACACAAATCTGAAGAAGCAAGATTTATACATTATTTCAGAATCTGTATTTGGAGCAGTATATAGTATCAAGATGTCTGGATTTGTTTGGATGACTGATTATCTCTATTGTACATTATATATATATATATATCTGATCACATCCAATCCCTTATAACCTGAAAAAGATGTCAGAGAAGTGGATGTTGGTTATGTGTTAATATTACACATGTGACTATTAAAGCCATGCTCCTCTCCAGTATTGACTGCTTGATTGAGTTGAGGCACCTCTCTAAACACATTTTCCTGTCTTTCCATTGGTTTGCTTTCCATTTGTTATGCTACAGCTGGTTTCTACATTGTAAATTGTAATGTCAATGTAAGTACTGAAACTAGTTGTACAGAATTCTTTACTTACTTTCTTTTTGATTGTTAATTAGATGTTCTAATGTAAAACTCACTAAATTAACTGAAGTTAACTGAACTGAACTGGAGTTATTCAGTCAGTTCCTCATATGACACATAATGTTAGCAGCTGCATTTAGAGCAGTATGATTTGTTCATTTTTATTGGAAATGACCCAAGAAAAGACTTTAAAGGTAAGAACACATCTTTTTCCTTTTCATTTTGGTCTGCTGTTCAGGTTAAAGCATTTGAACCTCATAATGACCGCACTGACTATATCACTGCCGCTCCCAGTATCTGCCGGATGATGGCACAAATCTGTTGCTTGCCAACCAAAAGAAAGAAAGAAAAAAAACTGTTTTTCTATTGTGTAGTTTTTTTATTGTGGACAGATGTTTCCGAAAATGACCTGAAAACACCAGTCTTTTTGACATGTAAAAGGCAAATTCAGATTCATGCACCTTAGGGTGGATGTAGCCTGACAAACATGCTTAAAGACACGTGATGCGTATGGATCAGGAAACTCTAAATAATTGAAATCTTTAAAGAAAATTTTAAAACAAATATAATTCATATGTTGTGGTATAACTTCTTATCTTCATTTGACATATTAATTGAACAGTCAGTGGCACATTCATTTAGCTCATTAATTTAAGCCTCAAAGCTTGAACATAGATGGTTTTAAATGTGATTATTTGTAATTTTAAAGTGATTCAACTATTATTAATTAATTGATTTATTTATAGTATTTGTCTAAGGTAAACAGCATCATAGCAAAACTCAGTTTAAACAGGTCAGTGATTCTTGACCTTCAAAACAGCAGTTGACCAAAAATTCACCACTCAAGGTCCACTTCCTCGCTTGCCAAATGGTCACACATTTGCTCAGTTGTCATGAAACTGGAGATGTTCAAACTTGATATAATTTTCATGATCTCAGCTTTGTCAACTGCCTTTTTCACAGTCAGGAAGGACCTGTTCATTGCTACTGTTCAACTCTTTAGCCAGGAAGTCCTAACAATGCTCGGAATAAGGTCAGGTCAAAGATAGGTTGTCCTGTCATGGGATTCACTTTGGGATTCACCACACATTGATTTAAATCAGATCAGTTTAAAGGTTTCTGTATGGTGCCTGATCTGTGTCAAATGTGAGGGAAAAAATGTAATTCATGCACTCTACAAACTTTACTACAAACTTTATGCATCTTTATGACAAATTACTTTACAGTAAACAACAATGTAAGGGGAAGTTTCCTCTAACATTTTCCCTAAGATGAAAGAAGTACTCTGATTTACTGTAAAATGGGGGATGGGAGCCCTTTCATTCAACTTCCAAAATCACCATAAAGTTAAAAGATGGCATGCATTAAAAGTAATGACTGCCTGACTAACTGACTCTCTTTAACGTCTCTAGATCACTAAAGCAGCATGAAAAAACAACAACCAGCAACAGCAATAAATGTAGTGAACGCATGCTAAAATATCATATCTAAAATCCATACAGTCCACCTCTCTGGTAGCTTTGTTGTTGCTCAGCACAGCCTTCTTCCCAGTCATACTGACAGCCGTGGTTGTTTTTGGCAACGTGACGACATACGTCGGATGAATATTGAGGAACAAACTTTACTGCTGCATGTGTTGCATGACAATATATCACACGTTTTTTTTTCCCCAATGTTGGGCAATTTTACAATCCACACTTTCCATGACACGCAAGCATTTTAGTGTCACACAACTCAAATGCGTTCAGCTCAGCACGTAATTAAAATCAGTACCTTTTCTTCCACTGTTGTCTTTCATTTAGTTTTGAGTGACAGAACAAAACATGGGAAACATAAATGCCTAAAAAGTGTTTTTGTGTTGCATGTTGATTCTGAAGTCTCAAACTGGTATATTTAATCATCCATTTTGACAGAAGATCACTGAAATCACCATATATTAATGTAGGACTGAAACTGCAAGCTCTGTTTAACTTTCAAACACTCACAGGAAAAGCACCAATTTTCACTTTGCAAGTCCTGCTTATCTCTGCAAACACAGGCAACTTTGATAAACGTGTTATTTTCTTGCCAACATACCTTGCAATCTTACATGGAAGTATATATATATATTTCAGCAGAAACTGGACAGTTTTATAAGAGGTTTTAGCTAATAAAATATCTTATCCACCAAAAAGATTGTTCTCCATCACGTCACTCATCATCCCAACATCCTCTACGATTGTCAAATGTTTTCTGCAAAGCTTCTCTAAAAAATAGTGGAAAACACTTTGTCTCCACCACATCCACTTTGGTATGAAGCAAAATAAACTTTTCCTACCTCCAAGCAGTGCTCGAGTCAGGAGAGCGAATACCACAGAGGAGATGTTCATTTTCCACGGCTGCAGCCTCCATAAACTCTCAGTTAAATGCCACTGAAGAAACGAAGCCCCAGGTTTCCTCCTCCTCCTCCTCCTCCTCCTCCTCCTCCTTCCTTCTCCTCCTCGTCCTCCACCTCTTTTTTCCCCCAGCCAAGGAGTGTAATATGAAACATTGAACGCTCTGTTTCTACTCAGAACCTCCCTCCACACCCCTCCCCCCTCCCGTCACACACAGTGAAAACACATTTGGCAGGCTCACGTGCCCACACACAAACCTATACACATGCACGCAGGGCATACAGAAACAGACAGGTGAGCATGTGTGAGTACACACACACACACATACACCTCTGCTTCTGGCGAGTAAGTGGGAAATGTAATTTCCTGTGCTTGGTGGAGGGTAGGGAGGGGTGTGTTGGGCTGAGACTGACGCAGAGCAAATCACACTTCCAGCTGTGGAGGACAGCGGGCGCAGACAAAGAGGGAGAAGGGTGAGTGCCTGGGTTGCAGTCTGTGTTTGTGTGTGGGCATCTCTGTGGCCCACATTTTTAGTAGATAAATTCTGCAGTTAAAATGACTTGTTTCTCCCAGAGTTTCCGCTAGTGTTAAACTGGTATGGTTGCTCATCCTGCTAGCAAAATTGGTCCTCAAAACCCATATTGTGTCTGTGTGTGTGTGTATCTCATGTAACAGGATCCCATAGTGAATCTTTGTACAACAGTCTGTCAGCTCAGGGTTTTTGGGGCACTTTGTTGCCTTTTATCAAACCTCTGAGAGCAGCACTGTGAAGATCTGGGACACATTTGATTTACAGATAATAAAGGAGAAGGCCTGCAGGGCCTCATAAGTGCTTCTAGTCTGGCGACAGTTTGACAAACGTGGCTGTTACCTCGACAAAAAAAAGCCCCACTTTACCAATGCTCTGTGACCTTCAGCATTCAGTGCAAAATGGGGTGTGGGATTCACCAAATTAGGGACCAGAGCTCTTTCCTTAATGTTGTATATCAGAAAGAAATGAACATTTTGCAGCACAAAACTCAGCTAGTCCACACCACTGGCTGGAACATGAGTAAATATTGTGTAAATTGTATCTTAAAGCTGCATTAACTGATTTTCTGATGGAGGAGAAACTCCACAACAAGCTAAGAGCATACATCACCGCATGAAGTCACTATGGCTAATGTGTTAGCAAGGAGCTAGGTATTTACACATCCAGCAGACAGAGAACAACATTAGTATTCATTTAAAGTTATGTTTATGGTTGGTTTTATTTTCTCCTTTTAGCTCTGTTTTGGTCTCCTCCTGAGGAACTCTTGCGAGTTACCTGTTGGTTCATCACTACACGCATTCCCTTTCACATTACACATAGTCTTTTGATCTGTTGTTAATGTAAAAATATTGATTATAGAAAACAATTCTTCTTTGGGATGGAGACAAACTGGCTTAGCAAGCAGGTAGTAACAGGACTTCTACAGACGCAGCTGTACACTGATGATTAAATAGGTGAAGTAATCGCTCAAGTCGGTCAAGTTCTTACGTTTGGATTTTGCAAATAAAATGATATTTTTCATCTGGAGAAAGTGCAGCAGTAGTTCATCATATGTGCAGTAAACAGACTTCAACAATTACTACATCTGTTAGTAATTATTCTGTGTTTGCATATAGGGTTACTGGGATATTAGAGAGTTGTTTTTTTTATTGGTTCTTCTTCATCCATCTCTGAGCTGGGGGAAGCAGTTTCACAAAGTTGGCAGTAGACTCAGACTCCTAATTACAATGATATAGATCATATTGTACAGAGTTGAAACTGCCAAAACACTGTATCATTAAGAGTAACAGTACAATGAAACTTTGAGATGGTTTCCAAGCGTTGAACCTCAGCCAACATGGACAAGAACTCCTGCTGGAAATTACGGCTCTGTGACAACTGGGCAATATCCATTTTCTGATGAAGGTCATGTGATACGATTGAAAGCTCCAGACCAGCTAATAAACTAACCTTGTGGTGAGACAGTGCTCAACTGCTCATATAGTGTTTTAAATGAATAATATCACTTTGGCTCTCAAATCCCATTTTCAAAATAAGTTTTTTTACGTAGTTTTAGCTCCACCAGCAAAGTTAGTATGTTAGCAATACATCTCAAAAAGTTTCCAAAACATGTGGGGGATGGGTTGTCCTTGGTTCGGAGCTTGGTCAGCTGCTGTACAATTCATCTGACAATTGAGGAATTTAAAATGTTACTAAAGTAGGAGGATTCTTCAGGTTTGCACTCTCCTATGTACTTTTTGTACTTTTTAAGTGCATTCGGTTTGTTTTTGTACATGCTCACTTCGTCCTGTACACTCTCAGACACCCACAGCACCTAACAGACACAAGCAATTTCTTTGAATACAGAAAGAACCTGCACGTGGGGAAAGGGCTATAAAATGAAAAAAGAACTGAGATTAAGGTACAGTAGAAAGGATTTTATTATGTCCATTAAATGGATGGGACTTGAAAATGTTGCTTCACGAAAAGAACTGGAAAACATTGTCATTATCCAGTTGTGATTAAATGCCCCATCAGTCATTTTTGTTAATCTGACATAAATACAAGTAATTAAAGTACAAAGAATTGTTTACTAGGCTCCCCTGGTGCTCAGATGTGAAGCCAGTAAGGAAGTCAGTTTTTTTTTTCTTTCTTGGAGGTATATATCACCCCCTTGTGGAAAATGTATGAAATGCTTACTTGTCCAGAGGCTTTCTGCTGAGTGGTGTTAAATAATCTCTGTGCAGTATGTGTGTCAGTAGAACAACTGGGTTCTTCAAGGCACAAGTGAAACAAAACACAAATACACCCACATATTCAGGCTCTTAAATAGCTGAAACCGAGTTCATAAGGCTTTTCAAACAACACAACTCTCCACAGCCGAATAAAAGTTACATTAATTCTCTTTGGATATTTATTATGAAAACCATCATGAAACATGTAATTGAGGAACAATGTTGATGTTTGTGCGACAAAACCTAAGGGGGGAAAAAGGCGCCTGGCTGACTTTTCACCCAGATGCCACTTTTGCAGGGTTCACATCATCCTGCAAATCACTCTGCCTGAACTCTAACACTTCATGTCATTGGACACCGCCGCCACAGGATGTTCTGGTTGGCTGAGATGGCTCAAAGTGAGTGAGGCTGTGGTTGAGAGTAAATAAAGGTTATAGGAACCGGTACTTTTTGATACGAACATGTGTCCTTAAACTAACAAAATACAAGAAATCAAATTTTTTTTGTGTGTCATTACAAAATATTTAGGGTCCATCTTCATGTCTTCCATGATTGCCATTTATGAATATAGACAAAAAAAACAAAATAGATAGATAGATAGATTAGTTTTGTGTTTAGTTTGATTGTATTATATCTATTATGTCAGTAACTATTCTAATTAGTTGATAAAACAATGTTGATATCTTACCTCTGAAGATCTCCTCATTCTACCATCTGTAGGTAAGAACAGTTTGACAACCTTCAGGAAACCACAGTGTTTATATTTCATACCATAGTCTCAAAATATTTTCTAATTTTCATGTGATTTAGCTATAAATTTTTTTAGAGGAATCTAAGAAGACACATCTAGGAGGAATAATTTAGAAATGTTGTGTTGTTGTGTATTGTTCAGTTGTAAACGGCTGTAATATGATCTCACCTGTGTTGTTATCAATGACTGCTTCCTGATGATGCAGACCTTGACAATAATGAAACCAGCAACTATGAACAGGCCAATCCCAGCTCCGATTAAAGCATACTTAATATCTGGAAGGAAAACAACCAGCAGACATCATACGGCCATTCACACACAAGATGCAATTTAATATCCGTGACAGGACAGAACATCAGTTTAGGGAATGCCAGCTCATGTTCAGCCCTCCTGACAAGATGAACATGAAAGGTTTCGCGGGGGATGTTTGATTTCACAACTTGTTTACTTGGTGAAATAAAAAGAGCTCAGTCATGGTATCATGCTCCTTTTAACAAACTGAATTGCGTCACCAGTGTTTTCAATTTGAATCTTGGACGTATAGGAGTCATTGAGGGGGTCACTGCTGGTCGTTGTCACCCAACACCTTGTGTGTTGACTTCTACAACAAAACACTGGCAGTCAATTATACAAATATCGCCATTGCAGAAGTCATGCTTATGAAGCATTTTCACTTTACAAACAGGTGTGAATTCAGCTGTCCAGGCTGACAGGATTCTAGCAAGTTCAACATTAAGCCTACCAGGTACAAAACCGTCACAGTGTGATATTATGGTGCAGTAATAATTCACATTAAAAAAGGATTGATAAGTGTACACCTGTCTGTACAACATAATGCAAATACCAATTTTTGACAACAACGGACCGCATCTCATCTTTCCCTTTGGAGCCTTATTATCACAGGTATTACTTTAAGTGCAGCCTGTGGTATCAACTGTTCCAGTGGTGTCCAACGTTTGCCTGTGACCTCTCATCAATAGTTGCTACCTTGAACCAAAGATTGACCCCACCCCACCCCCAATGTAAAGCTATTCAGTTATTTATCAAAAACAAGCATTGATTTGAGGAGAGTCTGGAAAAAGTGCATAATTTTGTGCAACAGAAAATGTTTTTTATGCTTTCCTCTCCTGTTAATTATCTCATGACCATTAAATACATCTTGCAACCCCCTGTGGCGGTCTTGCCCCAGAGGTTGGAACCACTGATCTACTCAACATCAATATTCCTTGGATTAGTCAGATACCAAGTTGATTAAGAGACCTCAGAACAGTAGTACATAAAACCAGACCTGTCTGAATGGCTAGATAACACTTGGGTTAAGTAATTAAATGTCAATGAAAAAACAACTTTATACTTTAAGTATTGTTGAGCTAAACTATTCATGTCATTGTGTCTGTGTTACAACATCGCCAAAACTCATTGACTCGTAATTGAGCTAAAATATACCTTAAAAGTAGCTTAAGTTCAGTTGTAACCTGTAGACCCACCTACTTTTTCTTCAGAGGCTGCTCCATCTCCTCTCACACCCATCAGCAGACACTCTGAAACACATTGTTTTCAGGTAATTATTTTTTAAGGTCATGAATACAGGAAGGACGCAACACCACAGTGATCAGATAAGACCAAGCTGACTTTCAGCATTCTGCAAAAGCAGTTGCATGATACTCAGTGGTCACGAAGCGCTTTAATGTACCTGCAGTATTCTGCAGTGCTTTTTAAACATTGATGGGGCAGTATGAAAGTAAATGTCTTGCTCAAGGACATTGTTATTGTTGTTGTTCCCAGCCTCAGGTTGTCACCACTGAGGAGGATTATAGAGTGGTCAGATAGGTTAACCTGCCTCAGATAACAACCAGTTAATATCTCATGTGTGTCCTATTTTATAGAGCCTTATATCAGTGCACACCTTTGCTTTCAACACACTGAGGTAATTAAATAATGATAAATGAATTGGACTCAATTTACAAATATTAATATTCTATTTGAATATTCCTAGCAAAGGAAGAAAATTGACACAAGAGCATAAATACAAATAATGACAAAATACTGTATATCAAAAATGACCTAATTAGTTAATTAATGTAAAATGGGATCTTACTTTAGAGAAATAGAAATAACTACACAAATCACCCCTATACCAGATTTTTGATTAAAATGAATACGTGAGTCTTGAATATGGACTAAATGTTGGCACGGTAGACAATGATCCAAAGACCTAAAAGCACAAGATGAGATCGGGTTGGTTTTACAATATGAGTCTTACTGTGGTAGTTTAGGAGCATCATTTGTATCACTGTTACCACCAGCCTCATGAAGAGACCCGTCCATAGGGCAATGAAAATACAAGTCTTAAAATGTTCCCAGTTTAATTCAGTCTAAAACACTTGGCTCTGGCAAACACGAATGCATGTTAAAAAAGATATTTGTCAGAAGTTACATTTCAAGCTAAGCTCTCAACTGAGAAGTGTAAACAATTTATGTGAGCAAGTGTGGCATTTATGTATTTAGATTCACAGCCTTGAAATGCCATTTTGAAAAAGAAGGGGTTATAATCAGACAGGCTGGAGGGTTTTTAGATGGTTCATGTATTTGAAAATATAGTTACTGCCAAATTACCCTTGACCCACTCACTCAGTGCTCAGCTGCTCTTGTTCAGACACCAGAAGAAAGTGGCATGTCACTGTGGGCGGTTGAGCTATGACTGTAACTGAGAGTGGTGCAGGGTGTTGCTGAAACAGAGCATACATGCACAGCAAGTGGCTATCTTACATTTTAAAACCACCAGTTGCATTCCTCTGGCAGGTCTGGATCCAAGCCAGTTATTACTGAGTGTGACATGAGAACTAAAGAAAATGCTATTTTTTAAGACAACAACTGGGGGGAATTTAAAGTATTTTACTTTTTTTCTTTAGCTAAGACTAGCCTTGGCTATCTAGCTTGTTTTAGCTGTTTTTACTTCTGTTTTGTAGTAAGCCTACTTTATATTCTGTTTTCACAGAAATTATACATTTCTGTGCAATTGTATTTTTTTATTTAGAGATTCTGATACTTAACTAAACAATTTTTATATGGTTTCAGAGTTTTGGGCAGTTTGCCTTATTACTAACAACTGTGAAGATTCCCTCTAAGGTCTTAGAAGAAGGTCTACCATCATCTTTGTAAATAATCACAAAGCTTACAGGTCACTTGTTTATAACACTTCACAGCATGCTGTACACACCTTATCCAATTCGTCATCACAGCAGGTGTCATTATCACATCTGTATAAGGTTGAGAACTATTGTTTACTATTTACTACAACATACAGATGTCCATTGTACTCACCGATGATGAGGACAGCCCTGGTCACAGCTGACAAATACCCACAAACCTGAAATGCACCCATCTCTCGTGGTATGGAAACTTTACTGACTACCTACGTGCTGTGAGTCTTTTCTCAGCTGTAATGATGAGCAGTTTCCTGAGCCTGTGGGTTTCAAAGCTTTGCTGATGTTAAGATTACGCATCTATCTGACTTTTCTTGAATGTCCTGTAAGCGGCTTTAATGCAAGGCCCCGTACATTTCACAATAGCCTACTCACTTTTAGCATTGACTATAAATTGGTGAGAAATTCTCATTTAAGTTTTGGACAATTATATTTTTCTGGTAAATAAATGTTCCCTGTGGTTTGGTAATTACAACAGTGGTTTGCCCAATTTTCCCTTCATGAAAGCTTGTAAACTTACTAGAACATGTGTTCCAAGAACTTCACAAACTGTTGTGGTAACTTTTAAGATGTGTGTCTGTTTTTGTTTGAATCTCTTGTACATTTATATTTTTAATCAAAGCACTACACAAATCAATTTTAGCATGCACTGCCTGCATTGAGTGGCTACATGTAACTGATGTTGTTGTTTGGGTGGAAAGATTTCTCAGAAAGATGTTGCCATGCCAAACACGATGGCCCTGATATCTATTACAGCCAGTAAATAATCATAGGTCAGGCTCTGCACTCAGACTAGACTGGATCCAAACCAGTTGGTTCAGACTTGGTGAGATATCTTGGCCACACCATGAGGTTGATTGTGAGTTTAGCAGTTGTTTTTCCATCATGTTTAATATCTTAACTTCCTTATGCGATGATGATGATGTAACTGCATTTTAATTGTGTTAATCCTCTGATTGGTCAGCTGCCTGCCGTATCAGTCCTTGAGGATATCAGTTAATGCAGTCCTGTCATCACTACCATCACACAAGGCAAATAACGGCTGGCTGTGTGATTAAGTTATGTTATGTTGGAGCTGCAGACTGCAGTCTATGCCGGCTTTAGTTTTTCAGAGAGAAAACAGAATTTTTTTCCCCAAACAGATCAAAACACATTTATCTTACATGTGTACTTGCTGAAAATTTATCTGTGAGGATATCTTTATAAACTGGCTGTGTATGTGAATGAAAGATGTGTAAACCTGAACATTGCACAATTAAGGAGCGACTCTGTAGTCAGGACATTGAACTGTTTGCTGTTAGCATGCAGCCATATTATCTGCCACGGATTTTTACATGTTATTGTGATAGCAGTGTACGTGCCTCCCCCTGCGCATGCGGAGACAGCAATGGACGTCCTGCACTCAGTCACCAGCAGGCTCCAGACACGGCACCCACAGGCCCTCTTCCTGATCTCTGGAGATTTTAACCATGCTTCTCCCTTATCTGTGCTGCCCACATACACCCAGGGTATGTCACCTGCCCCACCAAAGACAATAAAACATTGGACTTGTTTTTTGCCAACATCAAGGAGGCATACACTGTGACCCCCCTCCCCCCATAGAGAAAGCTGATCACAACATGGTTCATCTCAGCCTGTGTATATGCCTATTGTACACAGGGAGCCTGTGGTGCCACGAACATTGAGAGCTGGACTGCAGAGAGTGAGGAGGCTCTCAAACACTGTTCTGAAACCACTATGTGGTCAGAGCTCTGTGACCCACACAGGGAGGACATCAACGTCCTTAAAGACTGCATCACGGACTATATTAACTTCTGCTACGAGAACACTGTTCCCACAAGGACGGTACGGTGCTTCTCAAACAACAAGCCGTGGATTACCCCTGACATCAAAGCTCTCCTAAAGGAGAAGAGGAGAGCTTTCAGATCAGGGACAAGGCTGAGCTGAAGGCTGTACAGAAGAGGCTGAGGAGGAAGATCAGAGAGGGGAAGGCCCGCTTCAAGAGGAAGCTAAACAGACAGGAACAGAGAGACATTAGGGGGGTGTGGAGCAGCTTGAAGACCATCTCAGATTTGAAGCACCCCCCACACAGGCCGAGGGGGACCTTAAGTGGCTGAATGATTTGAACCATCACTTCAACAGGTTTGATCAATCAGCCACCCCTCCCCCCACGCAGCTGCACCTCACCTCCACACCACCGGGACAATGCACTTCCTCAGCCTTTCACACCTCCAGCTCACCTCACCTCTCACCCACCCCATCCCCAGACGGACTTCTTCAGCCCCCCTGCCCACCCCTGTCCTTCACAGCAGCACAGGTGAGACAGGCGCTAAGGAAGATCAAGGCGAGAAAAGCAGCAGGTCCAGATGGCATTAGCTCCAGGCTCCTGAAGTCCTGCGCAGACCAGCTGTGTGGCGTTATGGAGAGGATCTTCAACCTGAGCCTGAAGCTGGGAGTGGTACCACAGCTGTGGAAGACCTCCTGTGTGGTACCGGTGCCAAAAACACCGCACCCTAAAGACCCCAACAGCTACAGGCCGGTGGCTCTTACATCACACCTGATAAAGACGCTGGGGAGACTGGTACTGCAACACCTGGAGAGGACGTGACGGTGTGTCTGACCGTCTCATGTGTAGTACGGGTGCCCCCAGGGGACTGTCCTGGCCCCCTTCCTCTTCACCCTCTACACGGCAGACTTCAGACACAACACGGACAGCTGTGTTCTGCAGAAGTTCTCTGACGACTCTGCCATTATCGGCCTCATCATTGATGATGACGACAGAGTACAGAGGACTGACACAGAATTTTGTGGACTTGTGTCAGCGAAATCACCTCCTGATCAACGCGGGGAAGACCAAGGAGATGGTGGTCAATTTTCCTGGACGGCTGGAGTGACAGGGCCCCTCCTAAAGACTTTCTATGACTCTGTGGTGGCGTCAGCCATCCGCTGTGGTCTGCTGGAGCAGCAGCATCACTGAGAGGACAGAAAAAAGTTGGACATGGTGATCAAGAAATCCAGCTCTGTCCTGGGCTGTCCTCTGGACTCAGTGAGGGAGGTGGGAGACAGAAGGGTCCTGGCTAAACTGACAGCTATGCTGGACCATGAGTCACACCCCCTGCACTACAGCCCTGGAGAGCAGGCTGCTCCATCCCCACTGTGTGAAGGAGAGATACCGCAGATGTTTCCTTCCAGCGGCCGTCAGACTGTACAGTGAACACTGTTGACTCTGTGCAATATATCCCATGTACCATTATTACATCTGTGCATAATTTTCATTTGTGCAATTTTACTAATTCATGTGCAATTATTGTATAATACAGTTTTCTATATCTGACTTATGTGCATTACCCTTCTACTATACTTTTATATTACCAGTATTTATTTATGCTGCAGGAGACTGTACTGTATAAGGCATAGTCTATTCTAGTCTTATTTAATGTACAGTAACTTTGTTTTTATTTACTGTAAGAACGGTACTTCTTTGTTTGACACTTGTTTATGCTACTTGTACACTTATCTATGTCTGCTCTTGTCTTTGCTGTTGCAAACTGCAATTTCCCCACTGTGGGACAAATAAAGGTTTTCTTATTTTATCTTATCTTAGATTGACTAGACTGCCACTAATCAGGATGCACTGACATGAGATTTTTATAGAAACAAAATGTGTGTGGTGAGTTACAATGTTTCTCTGCCACTGGATCTTCGTATCTTCTACTGTATGGCTGCCTCAGCTGTCCTAGAGTTACCATACCTGAGTTTACAAGCCTGTCAGTCCCGAAAAGCAAGTTACCCCCTCTGACTATCTGTCCCAGGTCTCAGAGGGCATGAAGGAGCATGAGACAGGCTACTTGCTAGCTCCCTGTGTTTCACAGCCAAACAGAACACATGTGGGTGTCAGTCATAATGGGACAAAGACTGAATCCTGACTCTGGCTGACTGGAGTTCATCTACTCACTGTATATTCCTGTGCATGTATTTTATAATCACCAAACTGTTAGCTATTAACATTAGCATGAGGGCTAGTCTGCTGTACATGGGTATGCTCAGTATTTTCTAACAGCTGCCAAAATATAGCTACACAACTTCACTCTGTCGAGCTGGTGGCAAGCATGTGTGTTGGTTTGTAGACTTCGTCCTGCTCTATCCCAGATCACACATAGGCTTGCCTAAAGCTAGGCATACACTATATGATTTTAGAAATGTTGTTTAAATTCACCTCCAACTGTACGAGTACATTGTTAATGTAAAATCAAAGTTCACGATTTACAGTATAAAAAAAAGAGTGCACCCCTCACATTTTTGTAAATATTTGATTATATCTGTTCATGTGACAACACTGAAGAAATGACACTTTGCTACAATGTAAAGTAGTGAGTGTACAGCTTGTATAACAGTGTTCTGTCACCTCAAAATAACACATCACACAGCCATTAATATCAAAAGTGATTCCACCCCTAAGAGAAAATGTCCAATTAGCCATATAAGAAGATTGCCAAGACCCTGAAACTGAGCTGCAGCACGGTGGCCAAGGCCATACAGCGGTTCAACACGACAGGTTCCACTCAGAACAGGCCTCGCCATGGTCGACCAAAGAAGTTGAGTGTACGTGCTCAGCGTCATATCCAGAGGTTGTCTTTGGGAAATAGACGTATGAGTTCTGCCAGCATTGCTGCAGAGTTTGAAGGGGTGGGGGGGTCAGCCTGTCAGGGCTCAGACCATACGCCGCACAATGCATCAAATTGGTCTTTATGGCTGTCGTCCTAGAAGGAAGCCTCTTCTAAAGATGATGCACAAGAAAGCCCTCAAACAGTTTGCTGAAGACAAGCAGACAACGGACATGGAATCATGTCCTGTGGTCTGATGAGACCAAGCTAAACTTATTTGGTTTAGATGGTGCCAAGCGTGTGTGGCGGCAACCAGGCGAGGAGTACAAAGACAAGTGTGTCTTGCCTACAGTCAAGCATGGTGGTGGGAGTGTCATGGTCTGGAGCTGCATGAGTGCTGCCGGCACTGGGGAGCTACAGTTCATTGAGGGAACCATGAACGCCAACATGTACTGTGACATACTGAAGCAGAGCATGATCCCCTCCCTTCAGAGACTGGCAGTATTCCAACATGATAATGACCACAAACACACCTCCAAGACGACCTCTGCCTTTCTAAAGAAGCTGAGGGTAAAGGTGATGGACTGGCAGAGCATGTCTCCAGACCTAAATCCTAGTGAGCATCTGTGGGGCATCCTCAAACAGTAGGTGGAGGAGCGCAAGGTCTCTAACATCCACCAGCTCTGTGATGTTGTCATGGAGGGGTGGAAGAGGACTCCAGTGGCAACCTGTGAAGCTCTGGTGAACTCCATGCCCGAGAGGGTTTAGGCAGTGCTGGAAATAATGGTGGTCACAGAAATATTGACACTTTGGGCCAAATTTGGACATTTTCACTTAGGGTGTGGTTATTTTTGTTGCCAGCGGTTTAGACATTAATGCTGTGTGATGTTTCATTTTGAGGGGACAGCAAATTTACAGTTGCACACAGCTGCACACTCACTACTTTACATTGTAGCAAAGTGTAATTTCTTTAGGATTGTCACATGAAAAGATATAACCAAATATTAAAAAAATGTGAGGGGTGCACTCACTTTTCTGAGATACTGTATGTGCTCACACTGTCTAGTCCAATCGAGTGTAAATAGAAAATTAAACAGCTCATAGGCCACTGCAGACTGTTCTTGCAATTGGCAATTGTTAATCAAGATTTGTTTGAAAGCTCCGAGGCAGAGCTTTCAAAGGCAAGTTGTTTGCTACCAATACCAATGCTAGCAAGGCAGAAAATGCTGCCATGTCACTTTCATCAACCATGCCACATCACACAGGCACAGTGAGAAAAAAGGGCAGTGCGAGAACCTGATAACGACTGACCAAGTTTCGGACTTGTCAGAAATTCATCCTTGTACAGGGGGTCCTCACTCCCCCCCCCATTATACTGCATGGTAAATAACACCAGATGAAGTACAACTCTAAAATGAGTGAAGTCACTCTGAGTGCTAGCTTACCAGTTGCTAGATAGATAGCTAGTTAGCTAAGAAGAAACAAAATATAAACAAAACAACTTAGGACTTACCTAGGCTAACCACTTGCATCCCTTGCACTAAGCTAACATGTTTTACTAAAGTTCAATAAAAATGTCTTACATTATTCACAAATAATGATGAAACTACTATCTTTTTACAGCCACCTCTCAGTTTAACAGTTTACAACAACCTTAAAAATTAGATTTAGCCCTGAATTTTACTTTAACGCCTATTCAGGCATGTTTTGGCTTTTTGGCTTGGACATAGGGAATAACTAGGTTGCTAGCACAAGCACTGGGTTTAATTTGCTGTCGAAGGTTTGGAGGTTAACAAACAAAGCTGTGAAATAGGCAAATGGAGGAGGGCCATGCCCATGTGAGGCCTTATTCTGGAAAAGACATAAGTGCAGACTGTAAAAGGGAAAGGCTCTCACATGGGCCTACAGTATCTCTGCTCACAACATGATATTCCCACACTGCTCAGCGAGTCCCCAGACAATGCAGGGACTTTTTCCCGTTAAAAATTATCAGCAAGTCCATGCACTTTGACACATTGTGAAAGTTATACAGTATTTGTCCATTCAGAAAAACTTTGTCTAATGAGAAGAGAATTTTTGCAGAAAATAGCATATGTTACTGCTTATAGCTAGTCAAGTAACGTGTGCAAAGTTAGCATTTGACTGTTTAACTGAAGTGTGGAAGGTGTAGTCGACAGAGAGACAGGCTGTTACCTTATGAAATACAACATGACCAAAATAGACTGGCTTAAATATGGAGTCATGTGGATGTCGGGGCCAAGGAAGGCTCAACAGAAAATGTGATTTCATTCTTTTGAAACTCTTTTTTTCTGGGTTATACTCTAATAAAACAGATGCAACAGATGATGGTAAAAACTAACTTGAGCCACACAGTATTCCTTAAACACTCCACTTTGTCAATGTACAGGGTCAACCTTCACATATGACCTCGTCCATTGACTTCAACAGACTTACAAAGAGTCAACACGTCAACAAAATGTCCTCTTGATTTCAGCTTAATCTCACAGCAACAACAGCTGCATTGCTCCTAAAACTAGACTACCCAGTCACACACGTTCATTTCCACAACACAGCCTTGTAAACAGAGCTTGAACAACAAGAATTAGCCCAACCCTGCTATAGGCATGTCAGCCAGCAGACGTCTGCCTCCAGCTGCCAGGCTCCACTTAAGGGACTCCCACACTAATTTTGAGTTGTGTGATGCAATGTGCTATATCAGAAAGCTTATTTACCTGGGTGACAGAGGCAGAATAAGTCACAAGCTAAGTATTAGCCAATGGTGTAGGCAACCAGGTAAGTAAACCATATCCCTCTGTCTCCACCAAGACTCAAATGATTGATGCCTCTTCCTCATTGACATGAAGGCCCTGTCATCTTTTCAAAGAGGTGCCTAACAGTAAAGAGAGGGTCCATGTGAGAGCCTATCAGGCCTCACTGCTTAGTTACAAAAATAACCAATGATAGTGTCCATTTCATCCTGCTGGCCTGTCTTGCCCTGCCACTCGACACCCACTGGTTATTCCAATGTGAGCGAGCTTGCTGCGGCCTGTGTTGCTGCTCAGTTTGGCCACAACGACTTGTGCATCTATTTTGGTATCTTCTGAGCTCGCTACCAGGACCCTGGCCACACCAATGCATTTGAACATGGATCCGAGGGCTTGACTCACCTTGGTGAGTTTTCTTTGGTTCTTCAACTTAAAGAGAAAACATTTCTTTACCATGAATGACAACCGCTAACTAGAATTTATTATCAGCAACTGATGCAGCACTGAATTCTTGGATGACATTGAGGATTTGTGTTTGATACCACAGTCTAGATTGGTTGCCGGTTACACTCAGCATGAAAGACCCATCAGCAAGGTAAGGGAGCAGTGTGATTATATGGATGTTTACAAAGACATTAAAAGTACTGAGGGTCAACAGAATTTAATATATTCTACTTAAAATTTAAGATTAGGGCTAAACATTGATGTCCAAAAAGACCAATAGCACAAGAGCCCCCCAGCATGTCAGCATTTTATTGCTATAATATTAATGCACATTCAGTCATTTACACTAATATTTACAGTATCTGTGAGGAAAATGATATTCCAATGGTTACACCTTTATACAGTATACAGTTTATATAGTTAACTGGGCTACCTCATTCCTTTGGTATAAATACACAAGCAGATGCTGGGAAAGTACCGTGGTTGCTAACTGATCTCTGGTTATGAGAGCTGGAAGACTGTTGGCGACCAAAGTGTCCACTAAAGCCAAACATTCTGTAAGTCAGACTCAAAATACAGTAAAGTACTTAGCTCTAGCAATTTTACTTGGGTCGCTACTAGGTTTTATTAACACTAATAACAACAATCATAAAAATTAATTTGTCTTATTAGCTCTTGTAAACGTACCTACCTTCCTTCAAATCATCCATGATTGGGAACATGTGTAACTTTTGACAGCTGAGATTGCGTTACAGATGGCTTTATTGATGTACAGATACAATCAAACACAATATTGAGTATCTGTGTTTATAATATGTCTCAATTCTCATCTGCTTATAAGGAGAGTCATGGTTTCAGGATAGAACTGAGTTATACGCCAGTGGCTATGCTCTCAGGTCAGGACATATAAATGGGTTAATGAGCTATTCTAAGATCTCACCCAGATAGCTAAAGTAAGCTACAGTAGAGCAGCTGCTGCTGAGGCGCTCTGTGACTGATGTGATGATTTACTTTCATTTCCTGCATTCTGTGGTGTAAACCTGCTTGCGTGAATATTGTTCTAGAGCACTGCAGAAGAATTGCCCATATACCTATACATTAATCCAATTAATTCAATATATTTAAAAAAAGATACGATTGAATTTCAAAGCGATCAATGTGAAGAGTGCGTCATGACATGCACACACGTGAACAATAGAAATTTAGTTAGTTAATCTTTTCTAATAATGTTCCAATAAACGGGCTAGGAGCTGTTCTCATAGCCACCATCAATGTGCTTAGTACTCACACCTTAAGGCACCATACAGTGCTTAAAATAGCCAAGTGCATGGTATGAAGTGTTTGTCTGTTGCCTGCATAGTGACAGCATGGCTGAAGTTTGAACATGTTATGTACATAAAGGTCATCAGTGCAGCTACGGAGTTCAAAACCTTTTATAGTAATTGTAATAATCAAACCTTTTTATGAGATTGATTCACTGCAGAAACACTGAAATGATAACTGTTTACACTGTGTGAGTAAGTATGATTAGTCTAAAACCATAACTTTTAAACACTGACACGGATTTCATTGTCTTTTCTTTCAGGAAGTTTACATATCCCACCACTTACCTAATGTCAACCTGAGCTGGAAGAAAGCCAAAGGATCTGTGGGGCTGCAGCAGCTGTAGAGGAGGCAAGACAGGTGATGCACGAGACAGAAAGAAAGTTGTTGACATCATGAACTGTGTGGAAAAGCGACACATGAGCCATCGGGTGGGGAGCATGCTCCACCATCGCTTCCCCAACGGCTTCGCTGACTTGTTAATGGACGAAACTGATCGCGAGGTCAGCACTCTCACAGATCGAGCCTTCCGAAGTCTCTGCGTTGGAGATGACGCAGTTTACAATGATGAGTTCTTGTATGGATACTCACCTTTCAGCTGCCACAAACCTTTGGTGGGGGAGCCTCTTAAAAAGACTCATCATAAGGAATCTAAAAAGCAAGGGCAAAACAAAAATGACAAAAATTATGCCCAGCCGTGGAAACAGCAGCAACAGAAGAACATATCCCAGATGTCATCTTTCCTCAAGGCATTAAGTGCCACAGAGGAAAGCTGCGAGGGCATGTTAATCACAAATGGATGTATGACAGACTCTAAGGGGGAATCATGGGATAAGTCCGCACTACGCAGCATCCAAAGAGAGCTATCGGAATTCTCCTCGGATTATAACACCAATCTCACAGATGGACATTACAACAACCATCATCGACATAAGTCCAGTGATGGTTCATCAAACAAAACACGCAAAGATGTTGCCCTTCCCTCAGGGAAGTCCTCAAAGATTAAAAATGGGAAATCCACTGTCAAACTAAGGAAACTAAACATCAAAAACTTTTTCCTCCACAGTGAGTTTAGCCCTTTCCAAACATGGAGAGATTTTAACCAGTTCCCTTTTGGCCAAGAGGACACAGTTCTTACCACAGATAATATCCCTAAATGGTATGACATGTCTTTTTACAAGGAGCTGACAGAGGCACACAAAAAAGAGACTCTGCATATAGAGGAGCTGCAGTTGTGCCAGAAAGCTGCAGTGGAGCCCCCTCCTCCCACTGCTCCTAAAACTATCCCTCCCCCTCCTCCGCCGAAGGTCCTGCCAAAGCCCTCAGTTACTCCTGCTGAGAAGAGGTGCTCATCAGATGGAGGGGACGGGAGGGCTGCCCCCTGGCGGCGCAACAGGTCCAGGGCAAAAAGTGTGATTCCAGTCAATCAGCCTGGGATTCGTCCTCGGGTTACAAGTTCAAAGGCAGTGGATGAAAGTCTTTTGTTGGGCAAAAAAGAAGCCAGATCTGTGGAGGTGAAAGCAGTTGAGGAAATCAGCTCTTTGGCGTCTACTCCATTCAGCATCTGCCACCTGATGACTCCCCTCATTCCCTCTAGACAGCCGACAGAAACATCCGAAATTCTCCAGGCCGTCCTCTCGCCCTCTGCCCTTGACCTTTCACTAAGGCCACACTCTGAAGCCAAACTGACCCCTGAACCTCCAGTCAAGCGGGACAGCTACAAATCACTTGCCTCTAGCATCCTCTTCAACCTCAAAGACAACAGGAAAAGGGTGAAAAGCCGTTACAGTCCACCTAAATTCAAAACTTCAGAAGCTCCTGAGGGTGGCACCCTTTCTCCACAATCAGATTATCTGAAATATCCACAAGCTGGCTCTGAGGGCAATGAGTCTGGCTTCAACACTCCTGCCATTTTAAAAGATGGACAGACAGTTTGCAGTCCTGTTTTGGAATCTAACAGCACCCCAACAGTTGGTCTTACTAAGCATGATACTGACAGACCTCTTTCAGATGATTATTTGTTATCAAATCTACTGCAAACCAAAAGGGAGGCTACAGGTAACAGTGGTCTTGGTGAGGAGGTCTCCCCTTTGTACACTTAAAAAAGACCAAGAGTCAAACAGCTAAAAAGCAAAACTACCCCTCTCTAAATTTGTACAAGAAAGCCAGCCCTGTTGACAGTGATATGAAATATCCTGTGAGCACCGGTGCTCCTATACACACAGACCAACCAACTGAGACAAATAAAGTTTCACCGCTCATACTAAACAAAGAACTCTCTCCAAAAGCACTGCCAACAACCACAGGGCTTTCACCAAATACTTTAAATGTCAACAAAGATCATTCACCCCGTGCACTTGAGAAAGAGGGGTCTTCATCACATGTGCCAGTAGGGAAAAGACCACCAAATGTAACAGACAAAGCAAAACGACCTACGAAAGACATAAAAGAAAAAGACTTTGGAGCACAGCCTGTTAGTTCTAAGGGAAAAGATACTAGTGGCCAACCCATAAGTACACTGAATGTGATCAGAGCAGCAAGGGAAGCAATTACAGCAGCCAAAAATAAAGCTCTATCTTCAGCTCAGTCAGATAGCATCAATAAGCCCATTTCAGACATAGAAGAACTGAAAGACAAAGAAATAGATAAGAAGATTTACAATGTTTCATCTCAAAGTAGAAATGAAACAACCAGTGCAACACCGGTTGGCAAAAAAGACAATGTTAAAAAAGAGCCCCCACCAGTTCCCAAGAGAAGCTTTGCTAAATCTGATGTTCCACACTCTCTTGACAAGCAGCAAACACATAATGTTGACAAAGTCACTAATGGTGATTCAGGGGATGTAAAACTAGAGCCACCAAAAGAAAATGAATCTGTCCAGAAACAGGGTAAACTCAAACACATATTCTCAGCCAGACAGAATAATTATATAAAATGTCAGAGATATGTAGAGACAGGCGATGAACATGGAGAGGAGTTTGAGGAAGGCGATCTGAAAGTGAACCCAAGAATGGAGGCCGATGAGGAGGTGAAGTCACTCAGAGAAATGAGAGACAGTGAGCACATAATTAATGATTTGCATGCTTTGAAAGAGCTAGAGAGAGCAAGACTTGGCGATTGTATTCCTGAGAACTCGAAGAACAAATTAGGTGTTTTGGACATAGATGAGGAGACGAGGGCTAAGAATGATTTGATCTCGAGGGAGCTAAGGAATATTAAGAAGGGAATGCTGTCTATGCGAGGGAACACATGGGCTAAGAGAGAACTATTTGCTAATAAAGAGAAGGAGAAGAGCAAGCAGGAGGCTTTCACAAAAATTGACAGTAATGTCATAGTAAACAAAGCGCTTATAAATGACAATTATGACAAAGCCAAAATGGCACTTGAAGAGATCATCTCAGAAAGGCAGATGAGAAAGAATAAATTCACAGAGGATGATGCAAATCCAATATTTGATGAGAATGCTAGTGATGAAAGTTATGTAAGGGTACAGCAACGTAAAAAAGCTATGAAAGATTCTATGACAGAGGCCAAGGAAAAACAAAATGGCGGCACTAATACACTAAAAGAGAAAGATTTAAAAGAGAGGTTAGGTGATCTGAGAGACCACAATCACTTGAGAGAGATTCTGTCGCAAACTGAACCTAGACTTAGCGAGAAATACAGATCAGGTGAAAGGACAGTGCTACCCGGCATGGACAAGATTGGCAATGAGCTAAACGTGCTCCTGAAAACTAAAGCTAAACATGTTAATGATAAACTAACTGATAAACCTAGCTATGGACCAGAAGCGGTGAATTTGAGACCTATGGTGAGACATATATCTGAAGAGAGCAGAGAAAATCTGATTAACCAAAATGAAGGCAAGACGGGAGATGCTCCTCCTGTTCCTCCTAGGAGCAAAAAGGGAGGGACTATAGGAGATGGAAGTGTTACTAAAGAGACAGATAGTTTGAAAGATGTAGTAAAGGAGGATATCTTTAACAAAGCTGGACATTTTGAAAATGGTGAGGTACACTTAAAAGAAATGAGTCGTACAGGCTCAGAAAAGCAAGAAGCATATAGTGACCTGTCCATAATAGAAGCCATGCCTGATCAAACCAGTTCTGATAAAGAGAGGTGCGATGTGGTACAAAAAGCAAATTCAAAATCCATTACTGTAACTGATACAGTAAAATGTAAGTCCATTTCACCTTTAAAATCCCCACAATCTGAAAGTACATTGTGTTTATCACCAGAGTTTAGAGGAAATGAAAATAAGGCAAATAACTTGAAAGCAGATATCAGCCCCACAAGGGAAGTCACGTTTGAAAACAGCAATTCCAGGGCACAGGAAACAAACAAGGTGAAGCGGAAGGCTCCTTTAAAACCAGACCATTTAAACACACCAGATGAAAATGTAACTGGTGAGGAAATAAATGTGGATGCGGAGGCTCTCAGTGAAATCCCCAGGCATATAATATCACCCTTACTATTGGTAAATGGTATAAGCATCAATCAGAGCCCACCTGATCAAGCCAGCCTGTCCTCAAAATCATCATACTTCTCTGTAGAGAGTGCACTGCACAGAAATACTGAGACAGAGTCAAATGTTTACCACTCTCTGGAGAACCTGATTGGAGAGGTGGAGGAGACTGATGAGGTGACATGGAATATTTCACAAAACACAAAAGAGGATTTGGACAGGACAGAAGTGGAATATTATTCTTTAAGTGATCATGAAAGTGAGCCGGAGGTTGTAAAGCGACTGGTAAAATCTCCTCAAAAAGAAACAGAAGTACCGTACAAGGACAGCAAAGAAAGAGAAAATAGCACCACAGATCAAAGCTTAACTTATGATGAACATAATCAGACACCAATGTCACCCTCTAACATGTTCTCACAAACTATGGGGATCCCTGCCCTATTTAAGGTCAAAGACAACACTTTCAGTAATAAGTTGAAGAAGACCGTACAACCTTGGTCACCAAGAGGGGGTGTGAGTGCTTCAGAGAGGGGACTGAAGGAGTTAGAAGAAGGAAAGGAGAATGCAGAGCTCCTTCCGACTAATGAACCTGCCACCAGTGGTAGCACACCAATCCAAGATGAAATCTTCAAACCTAAAGAGATTTCATCAAACAGTTCACCTACCCTGCTGCTGCTGTCTACTTCAAATCTGCCAAGTGAAAACCCAAAGAAACCACAAGTTGGAGGGTTCCTTACTGTTCCGCAGGAGGAAGACAGATTGTCTGGGTTGAGTCCGTCATCTGAAGGCATGGAGAGCTTAACAACAAGCACAGCTGACACAGCTGATGAGATGGGAATAAATGCTGGAATGCTGCTTGAGCATGAAGTGTCAAAGGTTCCCAGTGAACATTCGGGGTCCACCTGTAGTGGTAATGAAAGCCAAACAGGACTGCCCAAACCACCGGCTGTCTTACCCAAATCTGAAAAGGCTGTCCTCAAAGCCATTAAGCTGGCAAATAGGAGGATGAAGAAAGAGGAGGCCCAGAAGTCCCCCACAAGTCGTCTCAAAGCAGCAGCAAACACAGAGTGGATAGACACAAGAGTGACAAAGCTGAGCACAGAAGCAGCAGCAGTAGAAACAGCAAGAGCAACGAGAAAAAACACAGAGAAAAGATTGAAGATGGTCATCGTCACAGTGAAAGTCACCATGGCAAAAACAGTGATGATCGGATTGAGCAACTACTCCATGAAATAAGAGGCCACAACAGTGAAAACCACCTCCAGGACAGAACAGACATGAGCCACAAGACTCGGAGACAGAGCCATGATTCAGTGGAAAGCAATAAACCGAACAATGAGGCACTACCCAGTGTTGCAACAGAAAGGCAAGGCCGCAGCAGCAACAGACATGTTCGAGATAAGCCACAGCAAAGACACTACAGTAGTGATAGGGTCATCAGTAATGTGCCAGTGTACAAAGCTCACGTCGGCGAGAGACCCACATCGGACAGGCCGATCCACCGATCACAAAGCATTGATAGGTACTTAGGAGATAAAGTGGAGCGCAGGCTCAGCGCCGATACGTTGGTCAATGAGAAACTTGATCCAAGGACACAGCGCATTGAGAAGTCCATCATGGACGAGCTCCAGCAGAGAGGCCGAGCCAGAGACAAGGCGAGCAGAGACAACCCATTGAGAAGGAGTCACAGTATTGATGCGTACAGCTCTGAAGTACCTCACCCATCAACCCTATCCCGCCAGTCAAGCCAAACCAGCCAGCTTTCTCGCCAGTCCAGTATTGAGCATGCCATTGTTACACAGTCCTTTCCCATGACCCAACGAAAGCTCCTGCAGGATCCAGACTCTGGGCAGTACTTCTTTGTAGATATGCCCATACAAGTCAAGACAAAAACTTTCTTTGATCCTGAAACAGGGAGTTATGTGCAGTTGCCAGTCCAGCCGCCAGAGGGTGCCGTTCCTCAGGCATCCCCCTTGGAGGTTTTGACCCCACCTCTGGTTGTTTACCACAGCTTTGTCCCGGTGCCTCTGTCTCCCATGGCTCAGAGTGCTTCCATCCAAGCCCCTCATATGACGCCAGAGGAGTTTGAGAAAAGAAACCTGGAAAGGTCGAGGCAAATGCACTGCAAGGAGAGACATCCATATTTAGAGCCTGTGTGTGGTCAACATGACCACATGTTAGGAGAGTTTCTAGGCACTGAGGAGCTGGACTGTCCAAGCTGATAGGCCATGCGGTTTAAAAGGAAAAATCCCCCCTCCGCTTATGCTGTTTGATATCACCAAATGGTGGTGGTCATTGCATTCCAGGGATTATTTTGTGATCAAGTGTTGGAAGTTCTTGTTTTGGTGTTTCCACCTTCACGCTACGTAGTCTACTTTTACTCTAGTTAGTGACTTCCTACATGTGGCACAGGGATTTTAAGCGAGCAGCATTTCATTGATGAATTCTCCTTGTTTGATTGTTGAATGCTGGTACAAGATGGCAACTCTAGAACAAAGCCCTTGAACTTCTTCTACTGTTTTACACCATTGTAGCTGCGATGGAGATATTTCAAAGTGATGTTTGGCCTATTATACACAGAATAAGAAAAATACACCATGAGCAACTAAATGGACCCAGAAATGCAAGGTACATCGCCAATATGCATTTAATTTTGAACAGTGTTAAAGTGTTTCCGGGTGGATTTTTCCTTCAAGGTTAAGGGTCTGATCCTTGTATTGCTTTACTTGCCGTTACTCACAAGAGACATAGAAGCTGCGCAGGCAGGTAAAATGAAGCTTCCGAAGCCTCAACCTGTTTAGTAAAGAGAATTGAGTTTGACTTGGCTGTAAACTTTATTCTTTGTGAATGAATGAATGGGGTTAATGGATAAATATGTGAAATTTCTGAGAAACATAAGTGACATGGACGATCCATGTCCATAATGTATTTAAGTGTACACAGAGAGGATAAGCTTGATGTAAATGTGGACTATTTATTGTAAATGCTGAGAGTTTGTGATATACATCTACAGTGATATCCGGGGCTTCACTACTTTTCAGGTATTGTGGCGTTTTGATTTATTACCTTTTGTTGCCTTGAGATTCTTTTTCACCAGACAGTTTGCAGTCACTTAAGTTATCATTACAGAAACAAACGGAATTCATTCAAAAAGTTTTTGGTTTGTATGTTACTGATTTCTGCTGAACATGTCCACACAACTAAATTTTAAAAACATTTTGCATGCTAAAGTTGAAATTGCAGTTACACATGTTGAGCGTGGTTGATACAACACACATTTCATTAATACTGTATTAAAGCTTGAACTGGCATTAGTGCAATTAATGTTTTTAATATGCAGAGGACATGAAGGAGAAATAATTCTGCAAGTTTGTTGCATTGGACTTTTTCCTGACTAGAATAAAGCAGGGCTGTATTGTGTCTGTGATCCATTCCAATAAAAAACAACTGTTGTTACAGACTTTTATTGTACTAGTGTTTTTCATTTCACTGCACTGCCATTTAGCATCTGAGGCATATGTCTAAACTAATTATATTCTAAAGTAAACTAAACCTGTTTTTAAAAAATGTTTAAAACTGTTATGATTGGTGATTCAATTATCATTCAACTACAGATAACAGTGACTTTCATTGTATAATGCTCTCAGCAAGCAATGAAACTCCACATGTTCACAATGTTTATTACAACAGGGTAATTAACTCCTGGTTACAAATCAGTTTATGTGTGAACAATTATTCTACAAAGATGTTTTTAATTTGGAACTGGCTCAAACCGGATCTCAAGCTGGGTCCATTTTGCATAGTTTGAGTCAGTTCTTCTGATATCTGATCCAGTAGAGCTCTATTTCGCCATCTGTTGGTTAGTTACTGTAGTGACAGGAGAGAACAAGTTCAGTAAAAGTAAACAGGCTGTGTGTTGCTTTTATTTACTATTCGGCACAAATATAAAAATAAGAACTTGAAGACAAAATGCAGAATCCGTGTTAATTGAAACTTTCAATTTCCTTACTAAAATGTTACTAAAATGAATTAGATAGGTTCCCAAGGGCCTGATTCTAATTCAGCATCTAGCTACTTATCCTACCAACATTTATTACTGTTTCTAACCTATGCTGTGAAATTTTTACTATGACTATTTACATTTCAATTCATTTCATGTCTTTTTAATTTTGTCTTTCAGCACCTTTTTGACTTTGAAAAACACATTCAGAATTGAATGTGGGACTGAATCACCCAATCCATATCCCTGTTTGGGAGGTCTAAACAACAGTCTGAACATGATGCTCAGATGTAATCACATACAAGTACTGACATCCTAGTTAGTTCAAAAAGTAGTCAGAAGACGTGACAGAAGTGCGTCACCAAATCAAGGTCCAGGGTCCTTTGGAAGACCTCAAGCTGGGTCCATGAGGCCCCCAGTAAAATAAGTTATAGTTCAACTTCAGTTTGAACTTAAGTAACTCCCACTACCACCCAGCAGTAACTAGTGCATTACAAATCAAGAACAAAGACTAATCTCAACTAAGGATTATTAAAACAGTATGTTTTCAACTCTCCTTTTCAGTTCTATTGTAAATCTATTAGGCCATCCTTTCATAAAAGGTTTTGGAATCCCAGGACCACTGATTAATAGGTGAGGAATAGTTTTATTTCTCAAATAATACAATATTTAAACATATGCACAAAAATACAGTGTTTTAATGAACTCAAGCTAACCATCATCTCCCCATCCATTATTGTCCCAGTGAGTGAAGGAGATGCGCAGCCAGTCAGTGACAACCACAGCTTAATGCCACCATGTCGTCATACTGCTTCAAAACCACGTTCTCCTCATCATCAAAATATAATAAACTAATGGACTGGAGTCGGTCGGGGACACAGCAGGGCGCTCCCACTTCATCACTAGAGAGCTTGAGTGCATGCATGATGGAGCGCACCGTGGCGTGGTTGGTCGCTCTCAGGTTTCCCCCCAGGGGGAACGGACAGGAGCCTTTGCAGTGGTATGCATTGTATCCCCGGGGTGAGATAATCCAGCCAGACCAGCCGATCTCCTCAAAGTCAACGAAGAGGGGAACCCGCTGGCAGGACTGGGAGCGGCCGTGGGATGAGAGATCTGGAGATGCACGTCGTCTCCTGCTGGGGTGGCCGTGGAGTTCAGGTGCTGCTGCTGCAGGTTGGGCTTGTCCTATAGAAAGAGGAAAATGATCACGCTGGGTTAGAATATCATCATAAATCATTTAATTTCATTAATTTATTTCATTTTTGGCATCTTTAAGACAGGTTAATTTGCTGAATTCAAACAAAATGTCACCTTTTAAAGCAATTTTACAGCAGTGAGTCTTAAGTTGATTATGCTACAAGAGGGACAAGATACTAATTATTAATTAATGATTATATTAATTTCATAATGACTTTTAAAAATGTATTTAATACTGAACATTTTGGGGTTCCATACATTATGACTATGCCACTGAAATGCAAAGTAAATACAGTTAAATGCCCTCTCATGCCCATGCTCAGACTCTTCCACCCTATGCAACACACAGCTACCATCACTTTACCCAGGAATGACTGGTTCGATGCTCCTGTCCTCCCGTCATCTGAGAATATGACCAGGTAGGCATTGGTGTTGGTCAGCTCTCCACTCTGCTTAGATGAGGACACCACTGACTCCATCCAGTTACCAGAAGGAAGTGTGGTCACTACGAGGATGCCGTTATTCTCTTGGCTGTTGCGGATCCACTTTGACACCTGACAATCAGACCGTAATTGAGCAGGTTAAATGCGTTAGTTTGTTAGCTGTTATAATAATAAATTATTAATAAATAATTAACAAGTGTAAAAAAGGATGTCTTACTCCATTCAAACAGATCTAAATACATTTATTTATTCTGTACATTAAGCCATGGAAATTACCATAAACTTAATGTAAGAATTAAGTAAATATTAGTTATTTTAAAGCAAAAAACACTAAAAATAAAATATACAACAATGCAAACCATATAGGGAGGGTGTTACCATTTGAGTCACATTGAAGACTTCCCATCCCTGTGTGTAAAGGGGCACCAGTCTGGAGGTGATGAGGTTCCCTCTCCAGGGCTTTACTCTGCTGTCCAGCACCTCATATAGATCCACCTGGAAGGTCAGACACAAAGCTGTTAGTTCACTAAACTGTGTCCATAAAAGGCCACTAATCTGTCATGGCTCTCAAGTCTCTGGTGATGTTTGCACTTTGCGCAAGTATCTAATATTACACAAAAGACATTTTACCTTACAGAAATGGGGCCCATATGACTTTCCGAGGTAAAACTTCTGTTTCTTTCTGAACCAACGGAGCTCCGCTTTAATCATCTTCTCATCTCTGCTGAAAGACGATAGGTTGAAGAAGTGAAACCTCTCTCCAGCATGACCTGCAGGCAGACAAAATATCAAACACTTTTGTGAAACGTTAAAATAATTTTTAGATAAATGCATTTACCAAAGTCGTACAAAATAGCTGTTTAACAGGGACAAAAGACTCGCGTAATCGTGCGTAATTGCACGTTTGGGGAACAATTGCAGCCCTGTCCTTAATATTTAGTGCTTCTGTGTAGTCAGATCTTGACTTAAATCAAGTAAATATATTTTTCAAAATATTTTTTCCAACATTCTCACAAAACAATCGTAGTTACCGTCTAAAGGTCAGTTTGATTGGTTCAACTCACCTTTATCCTCGAAACTCCTCACAATATTTCCTTCCAAAATATCCTTCTGGCTTTTCGGAGTCCCGTCGGAGACTGACACCGCGTTAAAAAGATCCAACATAAACTGAGGCGCCTTCTTGTGAGGAGGCACCCCCGTACCACGAGGTAATTCCTTCAGATGGACCAACGCGTCCAGCTTCTTGCTCGCCGTCTTTGTCGCATCCAAGCCGTCCTGCCGCCCTGCTGTCCCCCTGGCCTGCGGGATGGCGAGTAGGATGACGCATCTCAGCTGGAGGGCGAGGACGAGCCATAGGCGCAGAGCTCCTGCTGTCATTTTGGCGAGAGTGGACTGAGCGCTACACCCGTGGGATGGAGGGTGATAAGGGCGACCCCGCTGCCTTTGATGACAGGGCTGCCCCTGTATTCAGCTAACACCAGGAGATGATTGGGCCGTGATTGATGGTGGTAGAAAAAAATACACAAAGGAAAGGTGAAAATGACCCGAGAGTCAGCTATAAAGAAATTATTAATAAATGGCTAATTTCCCTTCCTTTGTAAATCCAGGTTATGGTAGGGTAAAGGCCATTTGGCTTATTTGACCAGTTCAGCGGAATAAATTTTATCAGGAACCAGAGCCATGTTTGTGGAGACATAGAACGTTTTCTAAGCCATTAATGTAGGCAGGTAAAAGACCATGTAAAAAGTAAATAGTATAATATATAATAATAAATCCTTCTGAGTCACCTGGAAACTACCGGTTTGATCTCATAAATATCAAGCACTAATACTGAACATGGGTGGTGTCTGCATTACTGAAATCCTGAAAAAGGAAATAGTAAATAAATGAAAAGTAATGCAAAATGTGGTATACAAATATATGTGTGTATAATAGCTGTTAGATTAATTTAATAATTGTTTTACACTGCTGCATTACAGTTGTTTTATAATAGGGACCAATTACGCGTGCCAACCAAATAAAGTTATCCCATTATGATGTTTTTTGTCGCCGGTGCTGCTCATCATGTGTTTCTCGGCCCAGTTGTCTGTTATCAGTATGAGGCCAGTTGCGAGAGAGCAAACGAACAGCCGAGCCGTGACGCAAATGAAGCGCGTTTTCAAAAGCTGCTTGTTAATGCGCACATTTCCACAAAACGCAGCCGGTCATCTGTCCCCACTCCACCCCTCTCATCCCCCCACTGTTTGGACAGTGACTCAGATTTAACACCAAAATCAGCACGTTTATTCCTCCGTTAAGATGAATCCGGGATGATCTGGAATCAATCAGGTCGAACAACAGGGATCAAATTCCCAAGATCATCATCCTGATCAATAGCCTGGTCTCTCACCCATTGTTAATCAAATTAATTGGGGATTACACAGGAATGATGATCCCCTCATTTAGGGGCCATTACTCACGTTTAAGGCCCCATTGTGGATGAGCTTGTTTCTGATTTCTCTTGTATCACTTAGCTGTCAGATAAACCACAGGATAGATTATAGCTATAAACACTGCAAACAGCAAGATACCAGGAGATCAAATGATGATTGGATTTGCTAAAACAGGACGTTTTTTTGCTGCATTTCATTCTGTATAATGTCCTTTTCTATTGTTAAAAATAGTCTTTAAAATGTATATTCCCCGCTAAACTAAGGAAATGAGATGCTGAGGAAGCCATTACTTAAGGTGCAGTGAAGAGCAGCAGAGCTGAATAGCTCACATACCTGCCATGCGTCTTCCTGTTGTGCATGCGATTATGTTCTTCTGTATATGTGTAGTGTGTGTGACATCTGGTGCATGAACTGTATATGAGACAGCTGGCGGGTGTGGGATGTCCTCAAATGTTTACACTGACCATGTGCTGGTCTCAGATAGACTTAAAGGGATGCCCTCTGACGTACATTTGTGCAGAATTTCACCTAACAGCTATGGTCAGATGACAGTGTGCTGTGCATATGGCTGCATCTGTAGATACAGCAGCCTCTATAATACAGAGTGAGCAATGTGAGAATTTGAGTTAAAGATTTTTAGAAAAAGATACATATATGTACATACATATCATGTTAGTTTTAAACATGAAAAGAATAGATTAACATTCATGGAAATTTGATTTTTGGCTTTCTTAGTTGTGAAGATTGATACCACTCTTATATATGTCAGTTGAATATGAAGCTACAGCCAGGAGACAGTTAGCTTAACTTAGCATATGGAACTACAAAGATACTAAGTTGTGATCACATGGGTAAGCACTAAAAGAAAGTGTATGCAGGATGCACGACTCTTAGAATAGTGCATCAGTTTCACCCTTGTGACATCAGTCATGGCTAAAGGACAGGAAATTCCGGCACTACAGATCGAAGGAAAATGCAGGTGTGCTGCCAAAATGAAGAGTTTGATTTGGCTCTTATCAAATGACCTAGCAACACAATGACTTCTGGTGTGACTAGATTGCATTTTCTAGTAAGAAGTAACAGAGCTAAGCCCCACAAGCCTCCTCAGTCCCTCTTTGTTTGTCAAAGGGCTGGAAGCAGGGGCGTAGGTATAAACAGTGCAGACTGTGCAGCTGCACTGGGGCCCGTAACGGGAGCAGCCCTGCCTGGACTTTGTCAGTCACATGATTGAAAATGTACGAACACATCTCACCTTTAACTAGTATCAGCTGTGAAGATCGAGTGGTATATATACACTCAAATGTGCATTTCCCCCTTTGCTGTGGTGTCTGACACTACAGACTTTTGTGGGTTAAAACTACTGAATTTTTGTAGCAAGCAGTAGGCTATAAGGTATACGGTGAAATAAAAAAAAAAATTATTCCACAGATTCAACTGAATGAATTTATTTATTTTCTTTGGTATTCGTGTCACATAACCCCCATATGCAGTGATGATTGCTGAGTAATATGTAAATTAAAGTAAAGTTTCTATTTGATCATGTGACAAGACTCCAGAAACCGGGTGAAATGCAAAAGTAGACTGACAAGTAGACTAGCAGAGCACACATGCAAGCTAGCCGTCCTGCTATTCAAACCTAAAAGTTGTTTAAAGAAGAGACAGGAGAGAAAAGAACAGGAGAGGGTCGCAAAAGCGCCCAAATAAGATTGTTTTGGATTACTGAGGACATTGTCAAAGATTTCGCTCAATGCAGGCTTGTCGGATGCCTTTCAAATAGGTGAGTAAGTTTACAAGTGCTTTTTCAGTGGATTTGGTGTGGCTGCCGTGCTGCTGTTTTAAAGGCTGTTATATCAGGGACAGCTCGCCGCTGAGCACCTGTTTAATTGTGTGGATGTGCTTGTGGGTATTAAACTGTGTGCTGGCCTGTTTTCAAGATGTGGTGTTGTTTATTAAGGCCACTTTTCTTTCTTTCTTACTCACCATAATGTCCTGCCTCTCTGTCGAAGAGGAATGTCGTTGTCGTGATTTGGGAGGTTATTGCACTGAAATTGCCCGAAAAAGTCTGCATCATTTCAGCACAGTGGACACCTCCTGCACTCAGCTGTTTGTGGTGACGTTCAGGATTTTGACAATGACACCACTGGCCATGCTCCTCATAACTTTCTCTTTGACTTCTGTACTTTGCAAATACAAAAGCCTAGGTGACACAGTCCGACTCTAAAATCCATCACATGGAGGGCACTTTACTTTACTGCTGTCCAGGCGCACGCAACACCGCTGCAGCAGCTGTGTGTGTTTTGAAGAGAGACGCACATAAAGAGAACTGTTGAATTTAATATGTTAATATGGAAAGAAATCAATTTAAGGAGCTTTAAATGAAGTAGTTTATGTATTTACTGCATCTTATCTTATCTGTTGTTAAACTGTGCACAACGAGGAAACAAGGCACACAAATTTGCCAATAGAGGATTCCCTGCCAGTGTTTGTGCGCGTGTGCTTCGTAACTGTACAGCCCAAGGGCCCATCATAATAGCCTGTTGTTACTACCTTACGCTAATGGCTTGAAGCACAACAATTTACAAAACTTTTAAAGCCAAATTTGTCACACACTTATTTCACAAACTTAACTTGTTTATCACCTTAACTCAGTCACTTAACAAAAGTACATTCTCATTTTAAATCCACTTGTTATTGTCTGAAGTGGAGCTTGAATCTGGAGTGTGTGTTATTTACTTTCCCATCATCCAGACATTAATTATCAGCAAAGAAATGTAAAAAATTGTATGAGGTTTGATGTAAATATTCCACATGAAGACCTGGTTTAGGATGTAACAGGATGTACTGTAACTATATGTTTTCACCAAAATCTAAGCATTGCTTTGCAAGTGCTTTAGCAGACTCAAGACTAATTTCTTAATGTATTTCTGCTTATTAACTGTACACTGTAACTGCACTTGCCAGTGGATGGATGCAGTGCTGTCTATTGAACAGCAGATGGAGTTATTGACTCAAGCAATGAAAATATGCGCTCAGTGTTAAAAGTTTTTTTTATGTTAATTTAACATTTTTGACAGTAGCATGTGTAAACTGGAGTGTAAATACACAGAGTTTTGGTGGTTGATGAAATTTCAAAGATGGTCATTGAGAGCATAAGCAATGAAAAGTGATCCACAGTTTAGTCCACACTGAAGAATGTGAACTGACCTCACCTAGAAAATGTGACTAAGCAATTGTAAAAAACAAAACTTTTACAGACTGACTTGTCTGTAACCTCCATATTACATTGTAGTTCATGTTGAATTTAAGGTATTTTTGCCTGAGAATTGATGTGCAGCATGTTGGCAAGGAACCCTCAGATTAATTCATCAGGCAGAGTGGATGTTGCGTTAGCTTTAGAGTGCTGTTGTCTACTCTTTCACCTAGGGCCGCCTGGCTCCACATCTGACACCGTGCCCATGTGTTAATGACTTCACCTTGTGTTAAATACCTCTACTGAGGCAATTAGAGACACATGGAAGGCATTTGCTGCAAGTGCTGGCCACTGCTGCAACTCTGTTAGAATGAATAATGAAGAGGAATACAATCACAGCAAAAGTGGAAACATATGACAAGGGTGTCGAAGTCAGACACAATCTAACATGATTTTAAAAAATCCATCTCTATTGCCTCAGACCACAAACAAGCAGGGTCAGCTCACCTTTTCAGTGTCTGAAGGAGGTCTTCCATCTCTCTCTGTTGTCGCTGAGGGTACAGGAGCACCAGTATAACAAATATTGTCATTGATGGTTGGTGACCAGTCAGAATTTCAACAGCATCTGCCTCATTTCATCTCATTATATGCAATTACTACTTTGCTTTACGCCTAAAGGAATAAGATCATTTTGGATGCAGAGCGTTACATGAAAAGATCAACAGGCCGCCACACTATGTGTGTTTGCATCTTAAATATGAAGTGAAAGCAAGCAAGTGGGTTAGCTTAGCTTAGCATAAAGACTGGAAGCAGGAGCAAACAGCTAACCTGGCTCTGTAAAAAAAAATCCCTCTGCTCACTAATTGACAGGAAGTAACTGTGCCTAGCCAAGATATAGTTGCCGCATATAACTCCTCATAAAACCACAAATTGTTGTTTAATTATGTTTCAGTTTTTGTATGGATTAAACAACGCTCTTTAGTGAGGTTCAGAGGCAGGTGACAGAGGCAGGCTAGCCCGTTTTTAGTCTTTATGCTAAGCTAAGCTAACTGGCTCTCGCTTCATATTTGGTACACAGAATAAAGGTTGATATTGATCTTCTGATTTAACTTTTGGCAAGACAGTGAGTGGGTGTATTCCTTAAATTTTGCCTTTTCACAATTGCACTAATGAAACCTTGATATAAATTGCAATCACAGTCAGGCTGTAGGGGCAGAATTACCTTGTTAGTGTGAGGCAATACACTCACCCACAGGGGATGTCTACCCTGTCA